AATAAGAAGATTAAGGCACAAACCCTATAGAAACCTATTATTCTAATCAAATACAGTGGGCTATGGCCACATTTCCCAGAGAGGGAAATTCCTTGAAATGCTAGCCCGAGATATGTGAGGCCGAGTCTACTCTTCTCATGCCCTGTGCCCAGCAGAGAGCCGAGTCAGTGGGAAGCACCAAACAAATGTCTGTTAAATCAGCAAATGAGGCTGCAGCGCAGAGCTAGTGTGTTGTCAAGTAAGTCTGGGAAATGTTACATGTTTTATCTTCATGGAGATCCCCACTGCAAATAAGCAAAAATAAAGGCCCTGAGAACTTCTACAAGAAGCATGTATTCCTTTGTCTAGTACATTGTTCTCCAGACCTTTTATCACTAAGGAGTCCGTTTTGCTGCACAACACCAATTAGCTCCTTCCACCCCGTGGACCAACTATGTGGAACATGCATGGGGAACACTGGACAAGTGCCCCTGGGAGATGAGCAGCCCTTTCCCGCAGCCCGGCCTAGGCACATTAGAGCATGTTCATCAGGATGCCTGGAGCTTCCCAGCTGCACCTTCTCCACATTCCCCCCGTGTCCAGTTCAAAATGTCTGTTTTCCAAGGCTGGGAGCAAGGGGTGTAGCTTCCTAACCTCGCCAGAAGACTGTGCACATGCCCTGCCACACACACATCCACACCCCCCAAACACACACACTGGGGGGCGAGCTTAACCAGACAGCATTTAAATACCAAGGCAAGGAGACAAGCCTCGAATCAGAATGTAACAGGCTGGCACAAATTAGGAAAGATTAATGGAGTCAGATGCACACTTTGAGTCTCTTTTAGATAATCGGCAGGTTCTCACTGGCATTATCCTAATCCAGCACCACAGTAGAAAAAAATCCACTTGATGGCTCTCATGGTCAACTCCACAGGAACCCAATGAGCTGTATTAATTTACAGAAAAGATAGGGGCCAGGGTAAAAGGGGCAGAGAGCTAATTCTAGGTATGAAATGCTGCCAGAAATCAGGAGCTCTGCTTCTTTAGGAAAGTCTGACATTCCCCACAAGAAAATTAAATAGTTACAATGATTAATTACATCCACTGGAGTTAGTCTTTGCAAAGAAGGCCCTAAGAGCTTTGCCCAGGAGTTGAGTCTTGGAAGTTCTTAGCCCAAAGTATAATAGGATGAGTAGCAAAATGGAGAGCCAAGGTAGCTCTGACCTTTTCTTTCAGCAATGGCTTTTTTTTTTAGATGTGGAGATAGAAAATCGGATATAGCCACTCTTTTAAAGAAAAGGGGAGCAGGAGGGCTGATCATATTGGACTTCTTTAACCAGTTACTTAAAACTTTTTGTTATAATCTTTATGTAAAACCTTCCCTGACTTTGATGATCATGTCCATAGTTGATCTATCCTGCATGCTGTTCTTCATTCTTATGCTTAATTCTCCACTTCATTTGAATAATTACTCATCTTGCATTCCCTGTGGTTCTGGGGGGGGAGGCAGCCAATCACCTTGACCAGGCCCTTGCACCTGGAGGTTGATATATGCCCTAGTATGAACCAATCATACTACATAATTCCCTTTGTCCCAATGATTGGTCCAGGGATAAACATATGACCCAAGTCATCCAACCAGAATGCTTCTCACAATTGTCCTGTAAATCCTGGAAAAGGAAATCATTCTTGCCACTGGATGAGCTGGACTTCATTTTCTCTAGAATTGCTGGTAGCCATCTTCCCCTTGTGAAGAGAGAACAAAGCTAACACAGAGAGAGTCAGAACACAGAGAATTAGAATTGGTGAGGTAGGAATAATAGCACGAGAGAAAGTCAGAGAGAGACTGATTTGATGACACCATCTGAATTTCTTGATACGGGCATACCTGGAGATAATCTGTATTAGTTTTTCTATCACAACCAGATGAATCCCAACCTATATAGTAGCCACACCCACACTGGATCAGCTTATTTAATTTATAACAAGCTTATCATCTTACAGTTCTGCAAGTCAGAAATCCAAAGTCTCTCTGGGCTACGGTCAAGGTGTTGGCAGGGCTAGGTCCTAATGCAGGTTCTGAGAACAGAATCTGCTTCCTTGCCTTTGTCAGCTTCTAGAGGCCACCTGCATTTCTTGGCTCATGCCCCCTTCCTCACCTCACTCCGTCCTTTAGCTTCTGTTGCCACACTTAACTTTGACCTTCTGCCTCCCTCTTGCAAGGACCCTTGTGATGACATTCAACCCATCTAAACAATCCAAGATAAGCTCCTCATTTCACATCTTCAACTTAATCACATCTACAAAGTCTCCTTTACCATGGAAAGTGACATATTCACAAGCTTCAGGGATTAGAAGTGGGCATCATTGAAAGGCCACTATTCAGCCTACCATAGTTGGTATGCAAGAAATATATATATATACATATATATGTGTATATATATGTATATATATATTATTTATTTATTTATTTATTTATTTATTTATTTATTTATTTATTTTTTGAGACAGAGTCTCACTCTGTTGCCCAGGCTAGAGTGCCGTGGCATCAGCCTAGCTCACAGCAACTTCAAACTCCTGGGCTCAAGTGATCCTCCTGCCTCAGCCTCCCAAGTAGCTGGGACTACAGGCATGTGCCACCATGCCTGGTGAATTTTTTGTATGTATTTTTAGTTGGCCAATTAATTTATTTCTATTTTTAGTAGAGACGGGGTCTTGCTCTTGCTCAGGCTGGTCTCAAACTCCTGATCTTGAGCCATCGGCCTCCCAGAGTGCTGGGATTATAGGCATGAGCCTCCACACCTGGCCTGATATACAAGAAATATTTGTAGGAAAAAAGTATGTGAAATATTTAGTCTTTCCAAAGCCCAATGTTGTAATCATCTTCAGTATAAGGAAAGGCACAGGATTATGGCAGAGGACAAAAAAGAATATAGCCACTAAGTCCTCCCTGTGGGACTTGGGGCTGTCTCCATTGTCATTTTACCAGTCTGAACTCCTACTGGGTTCATTGCCTTTGTGCAGTGCACATTATTCAAATGTAGCTCCCTACAGAAATATGAATTTCCAGCACCAATAGGAAAGAAATATCAGAACCCAAAGGGCCTTCCCACAGCCCCATTAAACCATTACTTGGGTCTAAGAACTAGGCTTGCCTGAAAAGGAGAATATCACAGATTCTATCTACTAGTGGGCAAGACCCATGCTGTGGGAGCCAAGACTGCTAGTTTTTGAGTTGCTGCGTGGGGCTCACAAGATTGCTCTTGAATGTCTGACATAGCTGTTGTGCTCAGAATGCAAGGCTTTGCGACTCCTAATTGTATGCTCTTCTCTAGTGGTTCTCAAGCAGGGGTGATTTTGCCCACACTGCCACAAACACCCAGGGATATCTGGCAATATCTCTTTATATTTTTGTTTGTCGCAACTAGGAAGAGGCCCAGGGTGATGATACATATCTTATATTGCACAGGACAATGTCCACAACTAAAAATTATCTGGCCCAAACATGTCAAGAAGTGCCCAGATTGAGAAGTCTTGCTCATATCATTATATATTTCTAACAGTTTGAAGGATGAAGGGTCTGGCCTCCAGAGGTTACCCCACTGGAAAATCCCCCAAGATTGACATAAAACTTTAAAATTTAAGTAATACAGGGCTTTTTCCTTTCATGCAAAAGGCAATTGCCAAATTATTTAACTTATGATGTAAATTATTGCTGCAATAAAAATATATCCTTTGAAAATATGACTGCAAAAAAGCAGAGACATGAGTCAAGCCAAGAGTTGGCTTCAACTAGAATAGCAAGGGGCAGTGAGGGTTGCATGCCAAAGGAAATCAGGCATATGATTCTTTTTTTTTTTTTTTCTCCTGTATCAACTGGTCTTGGTTCATGTGCTAGCACGAGTACTTCTCCAATGTGGCTTTGGCAAAATGGTCAGTCTTAACCATGATTCTGAACTTGTTTTGTGACAACACAGATTAAAATGATATGTTTCTTGCATTAACAAAAGTGGTTTTTCCTTGCCAACCCCTAAAGCTCTCCCTCCAAATGTGAGAGAAAGACAGAGGTTTACTAAGGCAAGAGCAATTTCACATGGCTTTGGGCTGAGGAAGCTGGTTTAAACCTTGGCACCTTTGTTTTCTAGCTGTGTGACTTTGGGAAAATTACACTTTGAGTCACTTTTCTCACCTGTGATACGGGGATAATAACTGTATGTACTTCACAGAGCAGTAAAGATTAAATGAGATAGCATGCAAAGCAATTAGCTCAGACCTGGCACATAGTCAGCCCTTGAATGTCAGCTCTTCGCAACAAGGGCTTCAGAGAAGGGCAGTAACAACAAATAAGGGGGACGATAATGTGCTAAGCCCTGTAGGCAGAATGTTCCCACGAAAAGACTTCACCACGTCACATCTGTGACAGAGCTCCAGCTTTGCTCCTTGCTATTGCCATGAGCCTAGCCACATGGACTAACAGCCTCTGAGCCTCAACTTACCCATCAGTGAAATGGAGATCTGGTCCTGCTCAGGGCAGCCATGAAGGCATGGAAATGTTACCACGTGTTGGAGAAAACAGACTCTGAAGCTGGGCTGCCAAGGTTCAAATACACCAGTTGCTGGCCAAATGACTTTGAGTGAGTGACTCAATTCTGCCACTCCTCAAGTTCCTCCCTCTGTCAAATGGGAACAATAGTTACTAGAGGATGTGAGAAACATAAGGGCAGGGATCACTGTCTGCTTTGTTTATGGCTATAACCTCAGCACCCCGGACTTGAGTCTACTGCATGGTGGGCATTCAACAAGTACTAGATGAATAAATGAATGAATAACGGTCCCTCTCTAACAGGACTGCAGTGACTTAAATGGGATTGTATCTGTGAGGGCATAGAATGGCTCCTGACCATGGTACACATACAAGTAACACTGTCATAACACTAGTGATAAGCCTTATTCAAATGAGGGGTCATGAACTCTAAATACACACAGCAATAGCCTTACGTTGGGCCACGAGAGCCAGGAACAGCCACGGGTATATAGTCAAGGCAGTCCAGAGTGCTTCTCCCTTCTTAGCCTACTCTCTACTCCATGATTTTCTACTGTCCCTCTGGCCAGCGTTACTTGCAGCTGATGTCCCTCATGTTTATATTTTTGGGTTTATTCTCCAGCTAGGTGCACACATCAAATCCCTTGCTGAGCATCCAAGGTTCATGAGTGACTCTCTCTAATGCAGTGTGTCTATCCCTCCATGGGTCTCTGCAGCTTTGCTCCAGCAAAATGGGCCCATATGGAGAAAGTGTTTAGCAGAGAGACTGCCTATGAGAGGTCTTGTGTACACTTTAAATCTTAGCTAGAGTAGACATTCCTGGATTGCCCTCCCTGGTAGTTATGAAGATGACCACTCAACTTCCATTTCACCCATCTTCTACTGGCTACAGAGGCTATAAAGATAAATATGCTGCTTCTCAGACTTCCCAAGTTTCCAGATGTCATTTAGCTTTGGCCAAGTAAATGCACAAGATCTGGAAGAAGGCAGTGAGGCAAGACGACCACACTTCTGCTGTTTCTGCTAGCTAGTGCTGCCACAAAAATATTTAATTTTCTAAGGTAGAGTTACCAGACTTCCAGGAAAGGAACTGAGAAGCTCTGAGGATATTGTGAGGCAGGATGGAGGACATCACTTTTCTGGGTGTGGATTCAGCAGGTGTGGCATGGCTCTGGAGCCAATGGCTCCAATGGTGGCTTCCTGATCCCTGGATCACACTAAGGAGTTATAGACAGGAGCCAGACCTTGGTAGGGCAGCCTCTCAATTCTCCAGTGTCCTGAGTGTAATAGATAGGTCGTTCCCCCACGTGGACCAATTCTTTATTACCCTTCTGAAAGTCATCTTTGAAGCCCAAACCTAGGTCTTCCAAGCATCTTCTCAGCATTGAATATCCTGTAATAAATTGCTATCAGCTTAAAACAGCCATTTGTGTGTTCTACCACTGAACCATGACTTACAGACCCCTCTTTTCTGCTAATACTTCTGACTTTCAGCTGAATCTCCAACCTGTCCCACCTCAGTCATCCTAGGCCCTAACGGTGGAACATACAACCCAAGCCTAAGCCAATGAGCACTCCGAGTCCTCCTCACATAGTCACTGTATTAGGGGTGAGCATGTGACGCGAGCTTCCCAAATGGAGTGAATCTTGAGGAATTTTCTGGGCTGCATGATCAATCATTTGCAATTAAAAAGTCCTGATTGCCATACTACCCAATATAATTAATAGTACTTTATTTTGTGGCCCTATCTCTGCTTCTAGAAGCCAAAGGCTAGTGCAAATGTTTCCTGGGAAAGAACCAACTATGTGCAATGGACTGTGCAGAATCTGCAGCCAGAAGCTACCACTTGGCTTGTCTCTCTACCCCTGGGCTTCCCCAGGCCCTTTTCCTCCTAATGTTTATGGACATTCACTCTAAAAATGATTCCGTAGAAACCAGCAGCCCTGAAATCCCTTGTCTGTGTAACTCACCTCACTAGCCTTGGCTTCTGAGAAAAAGGAGAGTGTGTTTGTTTGTCAATTATTATAATTGATTTGTTTCTCTCCAACTGGTACTGATTCCCTTGCTGTAGATAGAAAATCTGGGACCTAGAGCACCAGGAAGTCTACTATTAGCTAAAAATCACTTGCCATGTGAAAGAAGCATGGATTTGGGTGGCCATGGAGATGGTGAAGGGTTTGGGAAGTGTGAGAGCCAGCACTGAGGTAGTTTTGGCTGGAGAAGAGAAGTTTGAGGAGGTCTTAAAAAGGTCAAGAAGGAATGTACAAGAACATGCACACTCCAGGGGCCTTGCCATAATTCTGGATACAGGTCCCATTAGTGAAAGTCACAGCCACTCAAACTTGGCCACCAGGGAACTTTTGCAATGACCACTGTTCCGAGGCATAGTCTGGGGTCCAAAATGTCTCAGATATAAGATGATTCTTCCTTTATGTGGGATTGAATGAAAGTAAAATTGTAGAAGAGAAAATATTAGGCCTTGGTGTGGCCTCCTACCTCCTCAGACATCCAGGAGCTTCTTCTAGTCCACCTGCCTGGTGCCCGCTGCCATCTGCTCTTCAAGGCCAGGCTTCTGTGTTTCGGGCCTTAATTATTCCTGCATCAGGACCAATCTATCTTTGTTTCCAGTAATGATCATACAAGAAACCAATGTGGTACACACATGCACATCAGCATAGCAACATTTACCAACACACTTTATGTATGGTCCTCTCTTCTTCACATGCCAGACTCCAAAGGCCGCCTGAGAGTGGGTTTTCAGGCAATGTGGAAAGTCAATGTCAAAGAGATTGCCACTGTGCCATTGTCTTGTAACACACAGAGGAATCTAGTGACTCCTCTAAGATAATGAAAATGAAAGAAGCATTTCTGAAATGATATCCAATACAACCTCATATTTGTCTAGCACTTGACAATCACCCCGAACTTTGGCTTATAAAATTCTCTCCTTTGATCTTCCCAGGCGCTTAGAAAGTCTGCAGGGCAAGTGGTTCTCTTAGTGCCACTGTATAGATGAGGAGATGTCCAGGCACAGAGATGTCCAGTGACTTCTCAAGTTCAAGTAGCTATTATGAAGTAGAGTCAAGATTCAAATTGAGATTGCTCAATATTTAACCCAGTGTGCCCTTCTGCTCTGCAGTGAGAGATGTCTAATCCCTTACAGGATTCACTAGCATCTGCCAATTGTGCACAGGAGGATCTACCATAATTTGGGTTGATGGCTTCAGTTTATGACTTTCTTGTTTTGAAAGTGCCTAAGAAAACGTAGCAATCTAACATGTCAGAGACTAACAGGAAATTCAGCAACATCTTCTCCCCTTTTTTTCATCCCATCACCAAGAACATAGGGATAAACAAGGCAGAAAACAGACAACTCAAGCTTGAGATCACCCACCAGAGCTTGCTCCTAAACAGGAACAGCCTGATGCTCTCACAGCATCTCTGGAAAATATCAGTGACCATCCTTCACTTTAACAGCATAATTGGAGTGAAGACATACTGGAATCAGAAGACACTGGAATCTACATTCCATTCTCCTGCATTTGCAATTAAAGAGAGCTGTGAATGGTGATACAAGCCATCAGGACCAGCCACAGTGAGAAGTCTTGGAAGTAAAGTCAGAAAGGCTGTGACTAGCAGACAAGACACCAAACAAGAAAGCACGAACAGCACGGTGTGATTTCACCATCTTTCATATCTTTACCTTCTCTGTGGCTTGTGTTAGCCAGGGAAGGCTTCAGATGAGCTGGATTTAGTTAAAATGCACAGGGACATCCTATCAACATGCTAAATGAGTAGGCTACGACACCACTTTTACTTTCTCTTTTCACTCGCTTTCAATATTAACATTGAGGCACTGACTGGTATTCTTCCTGCAGGTTGGAGAGGAATATTACAAAATGCATTTGCAAGCAGGCTAAATCATGATTGACAAAACGAAATTTGTTAATACAATGGTTTGAGGCACTTGACAGAAATTTTTGTCAACAGTGTAGATTAAGGGATTCAAAAAAAATGAAATTTGCAGATGAAATGGCTTTGATGTTTCTCATGAAAAGCATTTTGTTGACAGACTGGATCAGAGTGAAAAAATGTGCATTTTCTCAATGCATGCATTTTAAGTCTTTGACAAAACACGTATTAGTCCTGCTATTTTTGCTCATTTGTCATATTCTCCATTGGCCTCACCTCTAACCATAAAAAGGGATCAGATGTAAGTAGAAACAGTGGAAAACCACCTAAAGAAAGTGTCAGATTGGTCCCACGAGTCATGAAGTATGGCCATGTCATTTTTTCAAGTACTTTTTGACTAGGCCCCAAACACATTCTTTGATCTTATTCTATCAATTCTTCTAAGAATAAAATTATTTCCCATTTAGAAAAGATCTTCTGGTAACAGTCAGGACAGTTTGGGTTATAAGTAAAGAAACCAAAGAAGATTTATAAGCCACTGGTTCTCAAAGTGTGGTTCCCAAACCAGGACATGAGCACCTCCTGGAAAATCATATGAAATGCAATTTCTAAGGCCCCACCTTAGACCTATGTGCAGGTGGGGCACAGCAATCTGTATTTTAACAAGTCCTTCAGGTGATTTGATGCAAACCGAAGTTTGAGATCAACTTTCAGTTCACATAACTGCAAAGTTCATAGAAAGATAGATGAGGCTTCAAAGCTGGCTGTACCCAGAAGCTCAACCAATATCACTGGGACCCAAGCATCAATTTCTCGTCTTTCCTCTAGAGTGGTTGCACTCTTAGATAACTCCTCCCTACATGATAGAAAGATGTCAGCAGCTCCAGGCTTATGCCCTATTTTCTTGACTGCCCCAGAAGAAAAAGAATGCTTTTTCCCTATAGCTTCAATAAAAGTCCCAAGATGGAGTCCCATTTGTCTTGATTAATCCAGTCCAGGTGTTATGCCGTCCCTGAATAAGGGAAACTCAGAGTCTGACATCCTCAGGCCCATCATGGTTTACATGTCAGGGGTAGTCTGAACTATAAATGCTTAAGGACAGAGAGTAAGGAGGAATGAAAAACCCCTAGAAACCCAATGTAAACGCAGGAAGATAGGGAATGGGTGCTAGAGAGATACACTCCTTGGCCATATTGGTAAATTCCAGATTAAGGTAAGAGTGGCTTCCCTAAGTCCACACACACAGCTTACATTAGTGTCTCTCTAGATTCTGGGAAAGGAACTCTATTACCCCTTTAATCTTGTCCTCTTCCTCAGGCTCGCTCTTGCTTCTTGGTTAATGCAAAGAGTGGCAGACTAGTTCTTAATAAATGCAATCCAGAAGCTGCTAGCAAAATAAGTGAGAGAGAGGATTCCATAGCAAAGCCCACGTGTCCCTAAATAAAGAGGGTTCCTGAAGACTGGTGATAGGGAGGAGTCCAGAGCACCAGGCACAGCTCTGCACAGGTGGGGGGAGGTGGCCATCTTTGACTCTGCTGCCATTCCCTTGTGACAGTCTCCCTCAGTACAGCCTTTTCTTTCCCTGTAGATCACAGAGGAATTTATTTTGCAGAGGCATAAAGAACTCAAGTACATGATTTGGCTTTCATCTTCAAACCAGGACTGAGACTTTGAGCTGTCATCGTTGTGCCAACTCAGCAACCCAAATTCAGTGTTTTACAAACGATAGAGAAGAAAGAAAACTTTACCCATTCCCTGTACCGTCATCTCTACCCAGAACAAGAAATGTTTTCCCAACTTGGAACAAATGAAAATGCTCCACGAGTAATCTCATTTTGACTTGAGAATTACTATCAGGAACAAATGTCTTGTCAAATGCCTCTTATAAGGCTCTTCCCAATATAACTTGTTCATTTGTGCCCTGCCTTCAACATTGGGATCTTCCCAAAGGTGGGGGTCATGTTTAATCCCTCCCTGTCTCTCCAAAGCTGCACACAGAATCTGGCACTGAGTCAATGCTAATATAGATGAGTTGCACTGAATTAGGTGGGAAAAGCGGCCTGTTTCCCATAATTTTTCTTCTCTACTATTATGTGGCCCCATAGCAGCATAAGCTTGACTGTTTTCTGGTTTCTTGAGAGCACATTTGTTTCCTTATTGCTAGACAGGCTATTGCCAAGGTGGGCTGCTTTAAGGGCTACATCTAACGTCACCTTTCTCCCGATTCTACAACTTAGCTATGTTAGGATGACCTTGAGACAGTTTTACACCCGACACTCTCACAGGACCACTAGAGGGCAGCAGAGAACACAGTGATGGCACGATGGCCATTTTGTCCAGCCTTTGTCTTCACTCTCCAATTCCCTCAATTTTCCCAGCTTTCATCCTTTTGTTAACTTTGGCTTTATGGGTGCAAGTTTCAGTATAGAACAGCCTGGTTTGTTTTAGAGCAAGAAAAACTATCCCCTTTTTTTCTTTCTGTCTTTTAATGTGATTCCTCAGAAAAATAATTTCATGGATGAGCCAAATCACTCAAAGTTTACAAAATGCACTTGTTTTTTTTCTTTTTAAAATATGGCTTCCCTTTGAAAAAAATAAAATAAAATCTTATCTACTACAATAGACTAGAGCTTTCCCTTCTGAGCGCCTTTTCTATAAGATCTTTAACTGAGCTGTTCGATCACTCCCTTTGGCCTTCATTCTTCTTGTGATCCAAAATCCAGTCTGGGAAAAAGCTCTCATTGGAAGGATAATTAAAGTAGATGAACAAGTCCTTCAGTCCCAGTTAATCCCAGTAAGCCTAATTCAAATTCTATAGATGGAGGGATAAAAGTGTTCTCCCATCAGGGTCATTCATAGATGGACTGCAGCGTACACCAAGAAACCAGTCCCTGGATAAACACAAGGTCACAGAGACCAAGTTTCTACATAAGTAAGATTTAATTTGGTCTAGGTTTGATCCAATTGCACAGATCAAGGAATCACTGCCAAAAAAAAAAAAACAGGCTACTTAGAGCTAAATTTCAGGACAAACCAACACCTTGAATCCTTGCCTCCATATAAAATTTCCCTTCAAGTTCCAGGAACATGACCTCAATTTGGCATGCAAATTGAGAGAGGCTTTTAAAATAACTATTTAGCAATAGTGATTAAAATGAATTATTCCATTTTCTAGAAAGGTACCCTACATAAATATACACATGCATATATATGCATGTTCACATAAGAATACTCATTTCAGCATTATTTACTATAGCAAATAATTGGAAACAACCTAAATGTCCATCAATAAGAGATTATTTCAATATATTTTGATATACCCATACAATGAAGTATCATACAACTAAAAAAAAAAAAGAAAATAATGAGACAGATCTATTTTTAACAAAGGGAAGTGTAGCTGAAAATTGTTAATAGCAATGTACTATAAAATTTTAGATAGTCTTCATTTTAAAAACTATATGTGTATGTATGTAAATGAATGCAAATGCAGCTTGCTTTTATCAAGTCTAAAAGGATTCATATAAAACTTGTTTAAGAGAGCACTGTAAATCTGAGAGGGGTAAATAGGTGGAAATTTTATTATATTCTGGTATTAATTGTGCAATTTCTTTTTTAAAAAGTCCCTAAAGTTGCTTACAATTACAATTGAGTTCAAATTGCCCAATATCTTACTTGGTCATTGTAATTCTTTATTCTCTAAAACTATATTTCAGGCACTATTTAGCATTTGGTCTTCATATCCCAAGGACAAAGCAAAAGTTTTAAGTGAAAACTTTTCAAAGATTTTTGGAAACCAACCTAACCCTGCTAGCATGAGCAAACACAGTACACCCAGAAAATGAATACACATCATTCTTAAACTGAAAGTGAACAAACGTCATCCTACTATTAACTCTGCCCAGAGACATATACAAAATTGGAGTCTCAAAGCCAGGAAGAGAGCTCAGAGTGTTTTTGCTCAATGCCCCCTAATTCACAGATAAAGAAAGGCAGGCCTGGGAGGTCCTGTGGCAACCCTAGTCCATTAAAACGACAGGCCAGTTCTTCGGGTTCCCTGGCCATATCACTGAGTGGTCATGTCATCTATCATTGAAAACCAGAGTACTTTTGAGTGAAAAGTGGTGTTATTCATGATTACTCTAGAACAACAGTTGTAAATTAGGACTGTCCTGGGACAACTGAACACATAGTCACCATACCAATCCCCCTTCACCCACCTTAAATCCCAAAGGAGCCGATCTGTGGAGTTTGCACCTGACCCCACTCCCCCACAATGTAAGACCTTGATGAGAAGCCTTCCCTTACAGAAGTCATCTAAAGTGTAATGGTGCGTTTTTATTCTAGTTAAATATTCACTAACAGTCATCTTCCTGTCTCCTCAGAAGAAAGAAACTAGCAAATAATTTAATTAGTCCTGGGAGAAATAAAACTAAAACAAGACTATTGTTTTTCTCTAACGTTCTCTCAATTAATCTCAGAGTCCCTGCAAGATGACACAGGCATCTGGTTCTGGCATTCTAATCTTCCTGATGAGTTTTACCAGATTTAGTGAATAAAAATACAAAACACCCAGTTAAGTTTGATTTTCAGATTAACATGCAACATTTGAGACATACTTACACTAAAAAATTATTGCATGTTTATCTGAAAGCCAAATTTAACTGGACACCTTATATTTTCTCTAACAACTCTGCCACTGAACTCACATCTGCCTCACTTTTCTGAAGCTCTGAAACATGTCACTGATCTATTAGGCTTTTAGAACTACAGGTTGGTGCTGGAGGAGAGAAGCCACAACAGGAACAGATAGAATAACCGTATGAAATTTTTCCTCATACCTGCCTCGTTCAAAGCCCTGTGGGAGGCACCTTGGGCCAGTGATCAAATCAAATTTCTTTGTCCTACAACTGCTCTGTGTCATGCCGTGACTTCCACAGTTTCCTGGACCACGACAGCC